TGGTATTTCCAAGCACCCATGTATTTTTCTGTTTATTATATAAACAAAATTCAGTGAAAACAATAAAACGTCCGTGGCAATGCGTTTTACAACAAATGATATTTTCACACGTAAAAATATCGTATTTTTTACGTGTGTTAAAATACGATTTTTCTCAGTGGCCAAAAACTCTATATAACACTTGTTTATATAATAAATGCTACTTATTACAAAAAAGCAAAGTTATCTAGTATCATTCACTCCAACATCCAAGCTCATAAAGAGATCTTTGATGGGAGACTTTGTTCATTTGTTGAACCTTAAGTATAATATTAGTGCGGACGTTCGGTAATTTGGCAGTTATCATTTCAATTTAATTTCATTCAAATTATTCTCATTCATAATGTTTAATGTTTTGATTAATACTGTCAAGTGACAAGACGAATTTTTAGTTCAGGTTTTCTGCTCATTTTCTTCTTTTATTACTTAACAATTTGTCCCAGCAAATTTTATCATTGCACATTTTACATTTTATCACTGCACACTTTACTTTTATCATTGCACAAATTGGTTATCACTGCACACTAAAATTAGGTATGCCTGACAGACATTCATACACACCGAATGATGGAAGAAGCGCCCAGTAGTAGCGCTTGTTGTAAATGAAATGGAGGAAATTCAACACTATCGCAACACTATATATAAATGTATTGACTACTGTGTGATGCATTGCAAGGATTTATACTGGTCAACTAGTTATCTATGCTCAAATGATCAACCAGTTGTGTATTATTTTACTCTGTCTAACACCAGATTATTTTACTGTCTAATACTAGACTATTTACTCATCAGGGGGAGAGTGCTGACACTCAATGGGTTAAAAACATTGAAAGAAAATGTTTAGCAGAAGCTGAAAAATTGTTTATTGGTGTCTGGTGTAATACTGATATTTCTTTTATTTGTAAGGATAGAGCTGAGGAGCTTCTAATGGTACAGTCTTGGCCCTACCCCAGTTTTCCTGTACTGCATGTGTTTTTGTCACTTCCCTGATTATACCATAAGTATTGTATCCCATGGACACCATCTTATCAGTTCTGCAGTTTTTTTACAATCTACCGTAAACCTCCATCTAAAAGCACTGGGCTTATATTCTTTCGTAAGCGATTTTTGATGGGCTTACACAAGGGGGCGGGCTTATACACTGGGGGGGCTTATATTCAGAGGTTTATGGTATGTATGGTTTTCATGATTTTCAGTGTATAGTCTTCCCTTGCTCATCACAAATTAATAAAAAGATCACACTACATAATTGATGTTGATAAAATTTATTTATTTTAAAATCGAAAAAATATTAACATAATATTGCTGTACTTAAAGATAATTAAAATGTTTTTAAAAATAAAATTTTATGCACACAATTTTAAAATATTGCACACATTCATTTCACCAGTACACATGGATGCTATATGATAAAGTATATGAAAGGTGATGCTTTTGCTCTAGCTTAATGATGTATTAAAACAATCTAGAGGTATTACATAATTGGTAAACCTCTTCAATCGTAATGATTTGCATGATTTTCTGCAACAGATATGAATTCAATGAATGCTTTATCTTCCTCAAATGTCCATTTATGAAGTTTAACTGGGAATTTCTTTGGAGGAGTCGTTTAATCTTTCTGATAAGAAACTACAAAACAAACAGCAAAAGTGAGAGGGGCAATGTTAGTGCCAGCACAATTAGACAACAACAAAGAAACTCATGGATTTTTACCAGGATTGTGTGCATGCTTCTCCAGGAAATTTGTGTACTATAGGTTTTCTGGAATGCCCAGCATTGAAAAATAATGTTGGCGTACGGGTGGATAGAAATTGCCCAACATTGTCATGAGTTTGTGAACAAGAGGTATAAAATAGAAGGAATACATCTCCTATACAGACTAGCAGAAATACTGTTTAAAGTCAATCTTAAAACAATTGCCCAATTTTTAAAGCAGAATTCTGCCCAACTAAACACTGACTGGAGGGGTTGCACCCTCCCCCCCCCCAGCCTCATATGCCTATGGACAGAAATTCCCCAGGCAAAAAAGCATTAAAATACAATGTGACTGTCACTATGATAATAACTCAAGCCCCCATTATTAACATATTGTTTCATTAAAAATATACAATGTTTTTGTGTAATCACACTGTATTTTTAATGTTTGTAAAAACATTTATACTTTTAAATACACCTTGGCTTTGGACTCTGAAACAAAGTTCGGCTTGATGTTGAATTTTTCAAACGAGAAATTCTGTATCTTTTATTATTAGGTTTCCCTGGGGGAAATATGTGCGAACATATATGCGTATGTTTCAAAATTATCATGGAAAATAGTGTTTATAGTACAATAATTTCCTTCGCGCCATGATGATTATCAGGCGGTCTATTCCCGCCATCGGCGATAGAATATAGCAAAAGTACCCCATTTTCAAACCGCGATTACTCGTCGGTTTAGTGGAGCAAATTCATGTTTTAAAGTAACAGTAGAAAGAATAAATCTTCCCGAATTCGTTGAAGTGTTTTGTTTTTATTTTCCTAAAAAAAAAGTGAATTTGCTTCTGCATTATATCAAGGTCATTTTATTGGCGTGTCCACTGACCCGGAATAAGCATAATTACAATACGTAATTAGCATAACTAAAAAGCAATTCCTGTACCAAATAAGTCAAAAATAGTTTAATTAGGTTCTTAAATAATACAAATATAAAAACATACCTTCGAAAAAACGAGATATACGAAGCCAAAATCGCAATGTATTTCAACAACTTTTCGCCAAACGTTCGTTGAAAATCGTAATTGTGAATAATAATGAGTCGCATTGCATTGTGGGAAGACCCTCATTCCTCCTCTGAGTTCATACGAAAGTAAATGCAAGACTAGAGAACTATTCCATTCATGTGTTTCAAAGGGTTTGTAAGCTGGGTTTGTTTAGCCGTCATCCTGACGTCGTTGTCTTCAATGCGTAAAACCCATTTTTTTTCAGCTAGTTGTATTTCTTAATCCACAACTAACCGTTGGGGATTTTCAAACGTGCTTATATCTACGCTGAGAACCATGACCGTTAAAGTTGTTGAGAATATATTACAAAGGATGCCACGCTGAGAACCACCAACCTTTTGGAGCTTAGACTAGTGAGAATCTACCATAATTCCATAAATTATGTGTATTTCAAGACCACTATTCCTGCACTGAGGACCAACAGTTTGTAGTTTAGAGCAAGTTAGACTGGTGAGAAACTACCTCAACGTCAAAGGGCGTGCACAATGGTGGGAACCGACTGTTTTATCGTAACTTTCATCTAGCGCCGATTATTAACTAAATATGTCCTTCAGTGTCTTGAAATACATGTCCTTTGATTTGTGGTAGATTTTTGCTAAACGTCAGGCTGTTCGTTCAGGTGTAGCGCAGTTTTGAAATACACGCCCTTTGTCATAGATTTTCACTAGCCTATTAATTTACGAATTTTATCTGTTGATCACACTTTGGGGTAATAATGCCGTATTATAACCAAAGCCGATTGAGTGTTTATGGACGTTCCAGCAATTATCACTGACCCGCAATGTATACATGACCTTTCCACTGACGTCAATACAGTCAATACAATGACTGGAGCATCTTTGACAGGCAACGTTTCTATGAAAACAATATTAAGTCATTGTAGTATTCTATGAAAACAATCCCTGATAATGAAATAATATCCCTTTGAAATGTGCAAAAAGCGCCAAAACGAGGCGGGATTGTTTGCTAAATCTAACATAAACGTCGGTATTTTTAAGATTTAATTTCTCAAAAAGAATACATGGTACTATATTTATACTTTGTAAAACTGTCAGTCTTGAAATATTCTAGAAGGCGGCAATGATTATCTTGGTTGAAATTAATTTTGGAAGAAGAAAAAATGACAGCTATTTTTCGAATCAGTCTATAGTATCACGGTTTTTGTCAGGTCATTTCTATGCGGTACTGTATAAATGCTTTATAGTAATTGTGCAATGCTAAAGGTCTATATGTAAGCTATGATATGTATTTTCTAGTGTTGACCCAGACAAGCTCTGGCCATTCACATGTACGAGACTGCAGTAAAACACCTCCGGTAAGTTTATACACTAGATCTGATCAACATCATCACAACGCCATTAATGGCTACTCACTTTTCACCTGGGCGTTATAGCATCAAAAACACCCGACCTCTCATCCCGTCACAGCACCCCTTGAACATTGTTAGACAATAGACACCTGACATTAATAATCATGCAACCAAATGTATTTTCTCTCTTTCTCTTTGTTATTTTCCAGTGACTTCTTCGTAAACCTCGTTGACACCAGTTAGCTATATTAGTTTGGCTAAGGATGGATTTACTATTTTTCATGATAAAGCACAAAATAATAGAGACAAAATGAAATGAGATACAGTAATTTGAGTAATAACATGATGATAAGCGAACTGTGAACAACAATTACAATTCAAATACAGTAGGGATGAGCCGATTAATCGGTCATTTTTTAAATAATCGGTAATCGGCCGATTGTTGCCTGATAATCGGTAAATAATCGGCCTTAAGACTTTTTCTGCAGCTGCCAAGCATATGCTAAAATACTGAATACAAGCGAATAGATTTTCACATTTTGTTGCAAAACACGCGTCTTTTGTATTGAGTCGTACCATATTCTGTTTTCTGATTGGCTTAAACGAATCCTGATATTTGTAATAAACTATGCATATATTCAGAGCGCATGTTCAGTGAGGCTGGGAACATTTCCACTAAAAAGCGCAGCAGACTAGCCCCGCATAAAGCGGACAATATCCTGTTTTTACAACATAATCTGCCCAAACTAAACTTTGACTATTGACATGCGATGTTGAAGCTGACAATAAAACCACATTTACAGCTTCATTGTTGATCATCTTGTGATTGTTCTCTTGCTTTTTAAAATAATCGGCAGGTACCGTAAAATAATCGGCCGATTAGTTACGATAATCGGCTTATAAATGGACTACTCTGCAATAGGAGAAATTTTGAACATCAAACCAATAGAAGAACACCATAATTTCTTATGCAAAAACCTGTTTGATAATGTTACAAAGGATCCAAACCACAAACTTTATGACCTCCTCCCACAGAAACATAACTGGCACCACGATCTCAGAAATGGTCATGAATTTGACATTCCTCATATTAATACTAATCGTACTAAAAACTCTTTTATATTTGCGATGGCATCGAAGATGTCTTCGTAATGTTAGTGCAGGGTATCTCTTTTATTATCATCCTAGTAAAATTTTAAATATTTGCATAATTTTAACTTAATAATTATAATAGTAATTAAATAATAATTCGTATTTTGTAAACTTTGCGTAATTCAGCCTTTGGCTGCAATGTAAATGTTTTATTAAACTATCTATCTATCTAAATAATCGGCCTCAGTAATCGGCAATTTTAATCTAACTGTATAGTATATTTTGACATAAGTTATAGCAATTTTTCTGGGTTTTCAGAGAGTTTGTACTATTGTCTCTGGTTTTTGGTGAATTGAGCATCCACACCCTCTGTAATCGACTTTAAATCATCATGTACTACACAATGTTTCTTTTCCGTTATATAGGTGTACCCCAACACCGTAGTGAATACAACGCAACGTTTGGCAAAACTTCGCGAGCAGATGCAGAATGAAAACTTGACTGCTTACATCATTCCATCCACTGATGCCCATGGGGTAGGTGCAAGTAGTTTTTTCTTCTGATATTACTTTGAATGTTTCCACACCGGACAAGCTGAAAGATTTCTTGACCGCGGTGAGAATTGAACCCACGACCTTTCTCTTGCTCCACCGACTGAGCTATACCAGGTCATGATTCAACTTACAGTTATTTGAGTGAGAAAATAATGTTATTTCTTTTCATTATATGTGAAATTTTTTTATTTAGTTGCAAATGAGTCGCACAGAAAATGTTATTTTTTACTAGAGTGAATACGTGAGACAGCGAGACAAGAGACGGAAGTTCATCAGTGGTTTTAGTGGATCTGCTGGTTAGTACTTCATCTTGCATGTTATATTGAATCCTTGCAATCCCCAGTTTTCTTCTATATCGAACACCACAGGTTATCTCCAGGTACTGTAGTTTCATGTTACAACACTGGACTAAAAGTTGAGAACAGTTTAGAACTGATATAAAAGCTATTCAGTATAAATAAGTTAGTTTAGTTTATGTTTCCTTCTGTAGTAACTCTGTAGTAACACTGGATCAATAAGAGATGATCCTTACTGGACCTCTAAGGAGAACAGTTCAGAACTGATAGAGCTATCCAGTATAAATAAAGTTAATTTAGTTTAGGTTTCCTCCTGTAGTAACACTGGATCAATAAGAGACGATCTTTACTAGACCTCTAGGAAGAACAGTTTAGAACTGATAGAGCTATCCAGTATAAATAAAGTTAGTTTAGTTTAGGTTTCCTCCTGTAGTAACACTGGATCAATAAGAGATGATCCTTACTGGACCTCTAAGGAGAACAGTTCAGAACTGATAGAGCTATCCAGTATAAATAAAGTTAATTTAGTTTAGGTTTCCTCCTGTAGTAACACTGGATCAATAAGAGACGATCTTTACTAGACCTCTAGGAAGAACAGTTTAGAACTGATAGAGCTATCCAGTATAAATAAAGTTAGTTTAGTTTAGGTTTCCTTCTGTAGTAACACTGGATCAATAAGAGATGATCCTTACTGGACCTCTAAGGAGAACCGTTCAGAACTGATAGAGCTATCCAGTATAAATAAAGTTAATTTAGTTTATAGGTTTCCTCCTGTAGTAACACTGGATCAATAAGAGACGATCTTTACTAGACCTCTAGGAAGAACAGTTTAGAACTGATAGAGCTATCCAGTATAAATAAAGTTAATTTAGTTTAGGTTTTCTCCTGTAGTAACACTGGATCAATAAGAGATTACCCTTGCTGGACCTCTAGGGAGAACAGTTTAGAACTGATAGAGCTATCCAGTATAAATAAAGTTAGTTTAGTTTAGGTTTCCTCCTGTAGTAACACTGGATCAATAAGAGATGATCCTTACTGGACCTCTAGGAAGATCAGTTTAGAACTGATAGAGCTATCCAGTATAAATAAAGTTAGTTTAGTTTAAGTTTCCTTCTGTAGTAACACTGGATCAATAAGAGATGATCCTTACTGGACCTCTAGGAAGATCAGTTTAGAACTGATAGAGCTATCCAGTATAAATAAAGTTAGTTTAGTTTAGGTTTCCTCCTGTAGTAACACTGGATCAATAAGAGATGATCCTTACTGGACCTCTAGGAAGAACAGTTTAGAACTGATAGAGCTATCCAGTATAAATAAAGTTAGTTTAGTTTAGGTTTCCTCCTGTAGTAACACTGGATCAATAAGAGATGATCCTTACTGGACCTCTAGGAAGAACAGTTTAGAACTGATAGAGCTATCCAGTATAAATAAAGTTAGTTTAGTTTAGGTTTCCTCCTGTAGTAACACTGGATCAATAAGAGATGATCCTTACTGGACCTCTAGGAAGAACAGTTTAGAACTGATAGAGCTATCCAGTATAAATAAAGTTAGTTTAGTTTAGGTTTCCTCCTGTAGTAACACTGGATCAATAAGAGATGATCCTTACTGGACCTCTAAGGAGAACAGTTCAGAACTGATAGAGCTATCCAGTATAAATAAAGTTAATTTAGTTTATAGGTTTCCTCCTGTAGTAACACTGGATCAATAAGAGACGATCTTTACTAGACCTCTAGGAAGAACAGTTTAGAACTGATAGAGCTATCCAGTATAAATAAAGTTAGTTTAGTTTAGGTTTCCTTCTGTAGTAACACTGGATCAATAAGAGATGATCCTTACTCGACCTCTAGGAAGAACAGTTTAGAACTGATAAAGTTACCCAGTATAAATAAAGTTAGTTTAGTTTAGGTTTCCTCCTGTAGTAACACTGGATCAATAAGAGATGATCCTTACTGGACCTCTAGGAAGAACATTTTAGAACTGATAGAGCTATCGAGTATAAATAAAGTTAGTTTAGTTTAGGTTTCCTCCTGTAGTAACACTGGATCAATAAGAGATGATCCTTACTGGAACTCCAGGGAGAACAGTTTAGAACTGATAGAGCTATCCAGTATAAATAAAGTTAGTTTATAGGTTTCCTCCTGTAGTAATACTG